TGAAACTGATTTGCTACCAACTCCCAATGTGCTTGGAGGGGGAATGCTGTTGTCAGAGGAAACTGCACATAGAAATCACTGAAGAAAAAGAAAATACACTAAATATTTGCTTGGGTCCTTATATATCATGTTGCTTACATGGCTGATATCATGCGAATACAGTCCCTGTTATATGAGTCAGTTCAGTGGTCCACTTTGCGCCTTAACAAATCCAGTCACAATTCTCCCACTGTTCACTGACTTTCACAGTTGCTGCACAGTGGAAATGCCAGAAAACTTGATTGCTTGAAGGGGATCTGTCATTCAATGGATTCAGCCTATAGTGAACAAAATCTTTGGACTACAAGTTCAACAGCCAAGAAAAAATACAGAAAGGATTATGAAACACACTGCTATCACATGCTCAATAAGCAGAATAGTAAATTCAGGGCTATATAACTGATTCAGCTATGTGACCTGAAATTTCACAGATGATACATTAAACAATGTTAGTTTTCTGAATACCTCATTATTTTAAACCAGTTTCTTTAATCAGACACATTGGAAAGCTTTTTGTACGGCATCCAAAAGGAGCCAAGCTTCTATGGAATAATCTTCCAGAAGATGTTTGTTCCATAATGGCATGAGGAAGGGCTTTCAAAACCACGCAGTTTTGAATAGGGACTTTGCTAACAGGTGGTGTTCTATTAGTTTTTCGAATAGACAATTATCTGTCATATATGTCATTCGGGGCACTATAATTTATCCTCTTATATTGTATATATATTATATTAGCCTTTTATATTGGAATATTTAAAATGGATAAGGACTGGAGACCATCTAGAATAGAAATTGGAATGGTGGGATATACTTTTAATATTATCACTATATTTCTTTTACAAGGAAAGGAAACAAAAACTTTTATTGTGGAGATCATACTGAGTCTTGTAAACAGAGGGCACACTCTCCGCCAACAGGTTTTTCCACAGACTCAGGGGACACTGTGGGTCTGCAGAAAAGTCCAAAAAGTTAAAAACATACACACTAAGGGAGGGTTTAACTATGCAAAGATAAGGTTTTTTGTAACAGCCAAAATGTTTACTTTAAATACATTTATTTCAGGAGCTCCAATGAACCTGTGTTTTATCAATATAGATGCTAAAATATCATTGACAGATCACAGGGCAACTGCTTTTCCAAGTTTACCACAAGTTCAAATGGCATCACAGACAAAAAATTGAGTCTGATTTGTTCAAAGGATTGTATGTTTCTCTGAACAATCATGTTAGAAATTCTCACCAACCTGTTTTTCTTTTACGGTCTATATATCTAATTCTCAACAGTCCCCCTGCATGCGGATACTTATTTCCACAGAGGGTACACTCTCCCCCAACAGGTTTTTCCACAAACTCAGGGGATTCCGTGGGTCTGCAGAAAAATCCAAAAAGTAAAAAACATACACACTCAGGGAAGGTTTAATCCCCCCCACACACACCTTTTGAAATGGCAACCACAGGGATCTGCTCCAGGCCCCTGGCATCAACAGTGAGAGATAGACTGGCTGATAGCCAGAGAGACAGAGACAGATGAAGAGGGCAGGAAGCAAAAGCAGACTGGAGCTGGGATTGGGGAGGATTCCTCCTGCAGTATGAATGGCTGAATAGCAGGAGATTTGAGTTAAAAAGGTGGCAGGGGGAAGGAGTTTATGGTACTATACCCTACTGAAGTCACTTCCAAGCTCAAACTTCATCCTCCCAAGGCTCCACTCCCAAATCTCCAGGAATTTCCCAACATGGAGCTGGCAATCCTAAGCGGAATTGATCTCTGTATTTGGGCAATCCATTGTGATTTCTGGAGAGTGGCTGCCGCCACTGCTGCTGTGTGGGGGAGGAAGTAGGTGGCAGGCTGGGAGAGTGACAGAAGACAGTGTGATGGGGTGAGGGCAGAAGGAAGTGACAGGCATGGAAGGGAGAGAGAGAGGGAAATAAAAGCAGTGGCAGGAAGGAGAAAGAGGGAGAGGGAAGTAGGGGGAGAAGGGAAGAAGCAGGGGTGGGGGGAATGGGATAGCTGCTCCCACAAGTTTCTTGTACTCTTCTACAGCTGGGCAGAAGGTAGGAGGTTAAATCTGTCTATCAAAGTATGAACAGAAATTTTAGCTTTGGCAGAGAAAGGTGTTAGTTTTGCATCTGCTTTGGAATGAACAGATCAGATTAGGGATTCTTAGATGAGATGTTAATCACCTGGGTAGTGCTCCAAACACAATTTCTTTGTAGTATTTATATAAATGCTTTATTGCCTAGTATAAATTACAAGGGGCTCACCTGTCTTCTTGCAAAGCAAATTATGTGTTTTCAGGTGCAGTTTTCCATATGCTGAGAATGGGTGAATGGCTAGCAAAACCAGTTCTTTTATTAATTCTCAGTCCTGGCAGCACATTTTTCACACCATCCCGTTAATCATGGCTGCAACCAGAAACTAAAAAACTAAAAAAGTACATAGAAGGAATGAGAATATATTCTGCTCTTTCTGTGGAAGAGATAATATTGGCAATCATACCAATTCATTTAAAAGTTCATTTCCACCACAAAGTTGTTTAAAACAGACTCTCGTACAGACTCAATTTATTACATGTTTCAGTTCTAGATGGGGGGCATGGCGTTTGAATGGATTAGCAATAATGAATAAAGTATTGCTTTGACATCTCACCTGATAATGCTGATTCTATATACATATTTGTATCCCACCCTTCCTCCAAGGAGTGTAGGGTAGTGTACATTGGTCTCCCCTCCTCCATTTTACCCTCACAACCCTGTGAGAGGTTAGGCTGAAAGGGACAGAAGGCCAAGGTTACCCAGTAAGCTTAAAGGCTGAGTAGAGTTCTTGTCCTGTATTCTAACCACTACAGAACACTGTTGTCTATAGAAGTGCATGCCACAGAGAAGTTTAACTCATCTGTAGAATTAACTAGGGTTTATTGTCTTATCCCTGGATAAATCCCTCCCCCCAAAAGGGAAGCCATAGGGTTGCCAAATTAAAATTTCCTACCAGTGGGGGATCGTCTGGCCGGTCCGGGAGTTGCTCGGGGATGCGCGCGCGCGCCGCCAGGACGTCACCAGAAGTGACGTCACACACTGGGCGGGGCCACGCCATTTGAGGGGAAAACTCTTTGTTTTCCCCTCAAACGGCGTGGCTCCGCCCCCAGCGTGCGACGTCACTTCCGGGTGACGCGCACGCAGGGGTGGGGGTTCCCCCGGGGCCCCGATTCCGGCGCGCCAGAAATCGGGGCTCCGAAGCGGGGGATTCCCCGCCCCCCGGCTGCATTTGGCAGCCCTAGGAAGCCACCATTTAGCTTGCTAAGCTAAGCCCTTTCCAGTATGCATAAGGAGACACCAGAAAGACCTGCTGATCACTTACAAGTGAAAGAGAGGTTGAAGCCTTAACAATAAATTGTATGTGTCAATGTAAAGCCTAACCATGTTTAATGCACACCACGGCTTGTAAATCTTATTCAAACCATGACTTTACATCCAGTTCATGACCAAATCCATACCCTGATTAAGCCTTAGCTCTTCATGGGGTTCAGGCTCCGCACTTACTCTATCATAGAAAAATCAAGCATTCCAAGTCTAATTTTGGATGAGATCCATCATACTTGGCAAGTGGAGTGGGGGGATTTTTGCTGCTAATGCTGAAATAAATAAAAATATGAATTGAAACTTCAATGCTGGACGCCAGCAACAGCTTCCTGGAAAGTATTTTACATGCTGAATTTTCATGCAGATTTCAACTCTTTGTGGCATCCAATCTCCTCCTCCCCTCCAAACTACGGTTTCCAAAATTCTAACTAGCATCACTCTGGTGCTAAAGTGGTCGGTATATCCCATGCGGCAGTGTGCTATGCTCCCTGGATTTACTCTGATCATGCCCACCTTCTCTGCTTGAATCAAAATTTCCTTCACTTGATATTCCATTCCCTCAAATTCTAAAGCATAGCTTTTTCTGACAGCAATCCACAAGCAGAGGCAACTCAGCCCAATCTGGCACCTTGGAGGAATGTCCCTGACCTCCCAGTTGCCTGCCAAAAGCACAGAGAGCCGTGGACAAAGTGGTGGTTGCAACACTGGCCTCTGTCAGCCTGCAGCTTTGGAGACTGGCAACTGTAACCCCTTTCTTGTTGCCCTCTAGCAACAAACCCTTGGTTGTATCAGAGTATTGCAACCAGAGTCAGTACCCTGGAGAAAGAACATTCAGACACAGTGTCATGATCTGGGCTGTGCTACCAGAGGCCTACTAGGCCCAGAGAGCCTGGCTAGCAGTAGGTGAGGCTGGGCCTACAACTCCCAGAAGCCCCTGGGAGGTTTTGGAGCCAAAATGGACCAATAGGAAAAGAGGAGGGCTGGGAATAAAAGTTCTGGAGCAGCAGGAAGAGCTGTTCTTTCTTCCAGAGGGCAGAGCCAGAAGAAAGGCTGCTGCAGGGGGAAAACCCTCATCCTGGGGAAAGGGTGTGTAGTGTAAGGCCACTTGAGATAGTGAGCTAGCGACAGTATATTTAGACGCGTTAGGGCATCTGATTTCTTTTCTTTTCACCCACTTACTGTTATTATTCTGCACCTTGTTGTTTGACCTCCTATAAAATAAACCTTTTTCTTATTTCACGCTGCCTGGTCCTCACGCCTATTATTCGGCCAAAAGGGAGGTCTGAAGACTTGGGAGGGTACTCTGGGCCTTCTCAAGAGAACCTAAATCCAGAGTGGTGGCAGCATCAGGTGACCCCCCACCTGAGTCATGACACACAGAAACAGTTTGTCTGGTTTTTTAATAAAATGTTGTTTTTTAACAAACCAATGGCCAACATTTTGCCCTTTAATGAAAACATCTGTCTCATTAATTGATATAAATGGGAAAAAATGCATACTGTTATACAGCTCAAAACATAGGGGGGAAAGTAATACACAGAATGGTATGTTACTAAATCTTCTCAGATAAACACATTACAACTCCTTAAACAACTTTTTTAAAAATTAGCAAGGAAACATTTTTACAACGTTATCTGGGTATACATGGAACAGAGATCCATAGAAATTCCTCACCTGTTCTTTCAGAACTACCTGATGAACATAAAAGCATGATGTGCAGATTTTAAATGTATGAGATTTACTGATTTCTCTCCACCACAGAGACTAAGATCAAATTTCGAGTCTTGGTGGTCCTCATGGAGCAATAGTGGGTTTGCCTCTAAGCCACACTGATTTATGGACTAGTGCCTCTAATTCTACAGACTTGTGCAATCATAGCAGCTTGAACTGCACAGATCAGTGACCATGTGAATAACCCTCACCCATTCTACAATTGTTCAGCCAATTGGCGCAGCCACATAATTTTGACTGTGAGCTTGTTGGTGGACAGCACACTTCTGCAGGTTCAGGGGCTGCCAGATCTGGGTTTAACATTTTAGCAGCATTCTGCTCACGGAGAACTTGTAAAATGAAAGGTACTAACAAACAGCTCATAAAACACGTATAAGGTCCAATGTTATTCTGGATCGTGGGATGTCAATTTCACGCACTGTGACTTCCACTTTTTCACCTGGGCCCAAACTGAGGCTCCTTCTCTTCTTTACTTTTGAAAGCTTGTCTTCTGTTATGCTCCGAATTGGAATCAGTCCTGCCCTACCAACTCCAATATCAACGAAAACTCCAAAGAGAGTAGCGTTCTCAACTCTTCCTGTCAAAACAGTTCCAATGCTCAAGTCCTCGAGACAAACAATGCTCCTCTTGAAATCAGGTTTCTCAAAGTCTGTTATGAAAAGAGAAGACTGAATAAAAACTTAATCTCGTGCTTTGAAAATAATGGAGACATTGGCTTAGTTCTTTCAAGATTTCCCCTCCTCCCTCCCTACAGACCCAAAGAAGCCCCCCAAATGGGGGAGTCACAGGTCTGCTCTGGGGTAATAGGCTAAAATCACCCCCCACACACACACAAAGTCTTGTTATTCAAGCTCCAACCCATTATAAAGAGAACCGTTGCATTATGAATAACAAAAAAATAAAATTAAAAAATAGCAATAACTTGTTTTTACCATACATCAAAAATATACTTTAATCTCTAGTGTTTGTTCACCTTGCGATTAAGAACATAGGATACAATAAGGCAGTGGTCTTCAACTGTTCAAAAAAAAAAAAAGGCCAAAAGACAGCCATCATTTCCTGCAATGTACAGCTGCAGACTATGCTAGGTGCATTCTACAGAACTAGTCTTCAACCCACAAGTGGTATTAGCTCCAACTGAGGGTGGGCTGAGTAGTATGAATGGGAATATAAAGATTTATATATATAGGTTTTTTTCTTCTTGATTGTTCATATTCATATTTCTCTGGTTTTTATAGATTTATTCTTTAAGTAATATTTTATTAGGATGTTAGAAAGGCCTGTTATATAGAAGGCTTTCCTCTTGTAGGTCTGATATTGTTAGCAGACAACATAATAGGTACAAAATTCATGATTCTGTAGTTCTTAGGGCAAACCTTTCAATGTCTGGGTCAGATAAGATTTTAGTCTGATATTTATTTATTTTATTTATTTATTTACTTGGGATTTATATCCCGCCCTACCCAAGCGGCCCAGGGATATGAAGAATCCTTGCCCATTATCATTTAGGTTAGGTTAAGTAAACACTTAGTTTGACGTAGGTATATGTTTCTTTATATCTGGCCAATCAGAGGATTATTACTCAAATTACCACTGTCTTTTGTAACCAAGTATGCTGTTTGAATATTGTTTTCTTGATGATGTCAGTCCATGTATAAAATATCATGTATTTCCTGAATATGTTCAGAATTTGTTCAAGGAGAAGATGAAGAAGAAAAAGAAGTTGTCAATTTTTGATTAACTATTTGGTCTAATTGTTTTCCTGTTAATTGAAGCATATTTCCTGAATATGCTGAGAAGAAAGTAGTCAATTTTGGATGGACTATTTGATCCAACTGTTTTTCTGTTAATTGAAATAATAATCCTCCTCATTTGACTTCATTTTTGACATGGAATCTAATATGTACAACAGCTGCATCAGTGGCATCACTACCACTTTTGGGGTTTAGGATTTTATGAGAAGAAAGATATACAAATTGTTTTTGTATTAGCATGCATTTTCTCTTTTCCCTCTGTGTGCTGTATTTATAAATTTTTATGCAATATAAAGAGAAAGAAGGAGAAAGATAATGGTGGAGGAAATGGGAATGGGTGAAAATATGGAGAAGAAAGAAAGACACTTTGGTTAAAAAAAGTTATGTTGTAGGATGGAGGTAAAGGTGGGTCTGGAAAAGGTTGATGACAATTGTTCTGGCGCACACCAGCAGTTCAGAGTATTTGGCAGTGAGTTCAATATCCTATGTGAACTGAGCGAATGTGCTAAAATATGTATAAGAATCCTCTGCAACATGCCATATGCAGGATATATGTGGGCTTCATTGGCAGATAAGTCAAAGTGGAAAGGCAGAAAGTTTGAAAACCTCTGTAATAGCAGACTGTTATTTTGCTAACCTCTTGATTTGCTTTTCAAATGGCATTATGCTACATGGAAAACACTGTAACAAAACTGGTGGGACCAGTAAAACAAGGCTGCCTGTTGGTCATTGAGGCAACTGAGAAAATACAGTCTTCATTTGTTCAAGAAGCATGTGCAATGCCCTATTTACAGGTGTTCCATAGTACAGCTGTATAATCATAGTTATATACCAGTACTTGTGGTCTACATAAACAGGCAATTCACCTAAAGTACTCTGGCGATGTTACAAACAAATGAACACACACCTATTCATATACTCAACCTCAGAGCCAGAGCTGATTGGGCTGCCACCAAGATTGCCAAGTCCATATTTCTCCAAAACAAAAAGGCCTCCTAAAACGATGACTAGTCTCTCAAAATGGATGCAAATCAGAGTCGTCATGGCTCAGTTACCTGCCTGGCACATGTGGTGGTGGCTCTAGCTCTCTCCTCCTCCTGCCAGTCTAGAATATTTGGCAACAGCTCTGGATCTCCTGTCCTCTCTGACCAGCTTAGGTGGCAAGAGCTCCCGATCCTCTGCCTGTCCCACAGCCACCCTGAAGGAGATGCTCCTTCATGTTGTCTGTATTTATGCGGACAACGTTCTTCCTTTTTTTTGGGGGGGGGTGTCACATTTTCCTGCAAACCTGAAGGATCCCCAAGGTTAGCAGAAGAATACCTCCTACCTGAACCTGTCTCAAGTCTCTGGGTTTTTCTAACCATCTGGGAGCCAGGTTCAGGATCTGATATATGATGGAATAGGTTCTAACTTAAAATTTTTTGATGTGATAGTTTTCTGTGAAAAAGGAGATTTTTCTTGTATCATGTGATTTATCTGTACAATTCAATATGGGGTTGCTTTTGAAACTCTCCATTCAGTTTCACCAACTGTTTGTTATTTTTAAGCAATGCACCACCCAGGTCCTGATACACTAGCAGAGATATGTTCAAATTCAAAGCAGAAGGCATTCATTTAGGTTATTTTTTAAATCTACCATTTCTTTAAATATGTGGTGTCCCCTGAAATCAGGAGGAACATTTCTAAAGGGTTTTTTTTTTAAATGACCCTGTCTATTCAAGTAATAGCAGTAGTAGCAGACTGCATGACATCAAAGTTTCCAGTGAAGGAATGCACCTAATTAGTCAACTCCCAGGCAGTAAAGTTTCCTGCAATATTACACTGTGCAGTGCAGGCACTTTCCAGTAAAAAAACCACGAAATAAATAGGTTTTAATAGCTGTAACGGAGATGAGCTTAGAAAGTGACTCAAGAACTGCTTAAATGTTCTACAAATGGCTCTTTTTTGTTATTCCTGGCATGTCCAAGTGGCTTTGCGCCCCTGATCTGCTCCCTTTATATGATCAGCTGTTAAACATTTGCACTGGAAAAAAACACTTAGTTTCTGTGCCACCTATTGCATAATTAAAATTTTGTGTGAGAGATCATGTACTATATTTTCCATTACTTTTATAAATCTTTCTTGCTGCCACTGCAGCTCCCAAATAATTTACTCTTTTACATTCTGCTAGCTCAATAGCTGTCGGTTTTTTAAAACCAACCAATCAAACTGGGTGGGTTTTACATAACTGTGCATCTAGTGGAATAGTAATTATTGCTGGAGAATATTATCGAGGTCTGGTAGTGCCTGAATACATATAGTTATAACAAGAATCCTATTATGAGGATTTAGGTGGGTACTTTGAGACATTATGTTATTTAATTTTGAGCTTGTTTGTTATTTTTGTGCTACAGAATTCGTTAACCCTAGTTTTACTGGGGCTGTGCTACAGAATTTGTTAACCCTAGTTTACAGGGGCTGTATGTATCTTTGCATCTCTTTTTTGGAAAGTATGTGATAAACATGCAACTTAGATTTCCACAAAAAACAAACATTCTATTTCTTTACCAAAAATCTTGATTATTTGCTTTTCAGTTCAGCCTTGGATTTTCAACATATTCAAATGTGTGCATGTGTGTGTGTGTGGGGGGGACAATTTACACTCCATCTTCAAATTGGACTGGTTGAAACAAGTACAAGTAAAAGGGAGGATCACATTGTAAACCAGTATAGAAACTTACCAAGGTGCTCCAATTTGTGCAGAGCTGTAGAGACCACTCCAGTTTGGTTTTAAAGGGGTCAGGGTTCAAACTTAATTATAAAACTAACACATGTTACCCTGTCTACTGAGTAATACAATACTTTCTTCACCCACATAACTTTAGGGGAGTTGACCTAGCCATCCATTCTAACATGTAAAGGTAAAGGTCCCCTTGCTCGAAAGCCAGTCGAATCCGACTCTAGGGTTGTGGTGCTCATCTCCGTTTCAAAGCCGAAGAGCCAGCACTGTCCAAAGACGTTTCCGTGGTCATGTGGCCGGCATGACTAAACACCAAGGTGCATGGAACGTTGTTACCTTCCCACCAAAGTGGTACCTATTTATCTACTTGCAATTTCTTGCTTTCAAACTGCTAGGTTGGCAGGAGCTGGAACTAGAGATGGGAGCTCACTCCATCATGCGGCAACTTGGGTCTCGAACTGCTGAACTACTGACCTTCCACAGCCTGCAGTTCAGCGTCTTAACTACTTGAGCCACCGCAGCTCCATACATGACATGGTAGTAATTAAACAAGACAAACAAAACTGTGAATAGAAGATTATAAAACCAACCGTCTCAAACTACCTACCTTTCCGGATGTCATACCCTTCAGGTTGAGTCAGTCCATCAATGATTATTTGCAGTGTGTGCCCTGCTGTATTCCAACTCTTTGCTAGTCCTTCTATCCCTTCTCTTTCAATGACCACATTCACTTTTTGCTGCATTTCTGACTTTCCTATCTCGTTGGCATTTCCTCCAATGAGATCTAAAAACCTTAAATGTAAAATAAAGGGAGAGAAGCCTATAAATCAGACATAACTTATTTGGAAAGCAGTTCATAATTTTCCATACTTGAAGTACGTGGATGAACATGTATTCTGCACACAGGTTGTATGGTCTTATCTTTTAGTTAGAAGCACATTTTATTTGAAGCCATCTTTGGTGCCAGCTGTTACTTTAGAGGGAAATTAACTTGACCTGAATGATTACAGCATGCCAGTTTTTATGGCCAAGTAGTTAATGAGGGAGTTCTGTGACTAGCACCATGTCCAACTGCTTTTAATTTTCACAACTTAATAAGGAAGGTCCCCATATACAGCTGGGTGGTCTTCAAATTGCTTTTAGGCTTTAAGCCTGTTTCCCAGGAGAGAGAGAGGAGTGTGCACCTGATAACACCTCTGCCACACAAAGAGACCCTGAGAACATGACTGTGCAAGAGAAGGCACCAGACCATAGCATTACAGGTACTCTAGCTCAGTCATGTAGCACGTTATGAATCCAAAGAAACAACTACATCAGAATAAAGCAGAATCAGGGCCAGTATCAGCAATATGGCTTTGTAACTATCTACAGGAGCAAAAAAGAACTGGAGTATTTGAGCTGACGAAATAACCCAGAATCCCTCAAGTCACTAAAGGTGTTGGAGGTAGTGCATTATTCTCTGACCTCATCAGGCTCCACATCAAGCGAAAGCAAAAAAGGCAGTGCTGGCTCTTCGCAAGTATGCCTCTTTGTGAATCTGGACCTAGATTTTGGCTAACCCTATCATTTTCTGAAGCTGACCATGAAACAAACTCCCGAATTTGCTTTCTGAAAGCAGCAATCCTGCGTGTAACAGCATTTAGAAATTCTACATTTTAAAAAAAATGTCTGTCTCAGAAATATGTCATTCCACAATTAAGAACCGAGAGGAAATATGTTATTCCAAAATAAAGAGCTGAGTGGAATTGCATGGGTAGTGCAATGTAAAAAAAAACCTAGGTATGCCATGAGTAATACTTTAGTTTTGAAGAAATTATTTGAAGGTAACATTTGAAATGATGAATGTTTTTAAAATCATGGGTACAGCTACATTATTATATGGGTTAAAATGGTAGGTTTCATTTATGTTCATAAGGAATGTAAAGATTCTTCCACGCACAAAGCATCTCCTTGAGAAACCTCCTAGCAGTGAATGAAAGTACACCACATACTTTTATATATACTGAACCAGATATTCTGAATGTGCTTGGTAAAACCAAGGACATTATACTACAGTTCAAAATAAAACTTTTTTTCTGGCAGAGAGGTTTCTGGAAACATGCTTATCGGATGAATACAAATTCTCTAAATTTCCCTGTGTATCCACAGCAGGAGAAACTAAGGACACCCTTATGTCAAGTCAAAGATTTGATGAGTGCTCCCCCCTCCCTTCTCGTGGCTTAGTCCCACCTCCCTGAGGGCCCTGCTCGAAGGGGAGGGCTGCGGCTGGCAGTCCAGGGAGCGTGGCGAGCACGTGTCGGCTTTCCCCCAAGGGTATAGCGCATGGCTGGGGGTTGGGGGCTGGGAAAATGGAGTCCCTGGGTGTTTTGACTCTTTTATGGGTGCAAAGGGGACTTGTGTTTGTGACTGGGGAATGCTTTGAACGGGCTGGCTTTTTTGCTGTGAATGTGTGAAAACGGTACAATGCTTGTGCTAACACTGTATGAGGGAATTGTCTTAGATTTGTGCCCCCTGCTTAGTGCAGACTGCCCCTCCAGGGTCTCTTGGACGGCTCCTGAGAGCCCCCACCCCAGAGATATGTCCCCCCTCCTCACAGAGAGTCAAACATTAGTGCAGTTTTAGTGCAGACATGCCCCAGAGCCAGACATTAGTGCAGTTTTAGTGCAGACTCCCCTCCAGACAGAGCCAAGGGACCTCCACCCCACCCCCTCCGTAAGCCCCACAGAGCAAAAGCAGCTGGTTTGCGGCAAAGGAAAAGGGGGGGGGAAACTGCGCTTTTTAAAAATGCTGTCTGCATTTTTTTGTGCTGTTCTGCCAGGGGCTGATAAGGAGCCAAGCAGAGAGAGAGAGAGAGAGAGAGCGCACAAAACTTGAAACAGAGAGCCCAAAACTTTAACAGAGTCCTCCCTCTTTCTGCAAACGTTTCCCCACCCCCACAGAGGAAAAATCTTTAGGAAATTTTATAGACAAGCCTTATAGGCAAGTGTTTAAAAGTTAGCTCCAAGCAAGCAGTCTATCTTAGAGGCAAGGGAGATCCCCCTCCCCCCCAGCAGTTCTAGAAATAGATGAAAAGCTTAATCACACACACCCCTCAACCCACGCACACAGATCCCCCCCTTTAAAAGCAAGAGTTTTAAAGAAAGCAGTTTGCAAACAGCCTTTTTAAAGACAGACAGCACAGCAACAGAATTTACTTACTGTGGAGAGCAGAATGCCACAGTCTCCCCACTTCCACCCCACCATCCAACCTTTTTAGAAGGAAAATAGAGTACAAAAGCTGAGAAAATCCTTCAGGGCAAAAAAAATGCTGTTAAAAAGCCATTTCTAACTGTGCGTGTTCCTAGCAGGCAGAGAGTGAGAGAAAGCACCCGCAGTGCAAGCTGGGAGGAGAGAGGCGGGGCCACAAACTCATTCAGCCAATGACAGCCCTTGCTTTCCCAGACATTGAAAATATCACAGGCTGATAGGCAGACTGACAGTTCAAAGACAACCAATGACAGCTCTTGCTTTTTCAACACGAAGAAATTTCACACCCTGATAGGCAGGCTGTCAGACAGAGAGACATATGCTTTGCCTGGAGAAACAACACGGCGTGGCCTGGAAGATATGGGGAAAAAACCCTTTCCTTTGCCAAGGTGTGGGCCAGCCACATTTCCCACAAAGCAGGCAGTAGATATACAAACAGTCCCCAAAAAGCAGCACACATACGTTTTTGAGATGAGGGAATCTTAAGGAAATAAATCAGAAGGAGTGGGGTGTCTGTTCCTTTCCCTTTGCGCCTGCTAGCTGCGGGTTTCCCCCTCAAAGCAGGCAGGTCCATGCCAGGACCCTCACACTCCACAAGACTCACCCTCCCCCCCCCACACACATTTTTTAGGGACAGGGAAATCTTAAGAAAATAAGGGGTGGAGGGTTGTCTTTAAAATGTGTTGTCTTTAAAATGCCATGGAAGGCCCCCAACTTAAACTTGCTGTTCAATTCATAAGTTTTAACATGTTTCTCAAACCTTGGGATTTTTAACCCTAGCGAGACCATGGCAGGGTTGGGCTGTCTCTGGAGGGGTCTGATAAGAAGGAAGGGTGGGGCACCACCCATGAAGAAGCAACATAAGCCAGCCGCTCTGTGCGTTAAAATGTTTCTATTGACATATATGTCTAGGATGAAGTGAGGTAGGAAGCTGTTACTGTATATAGATCAGTATGATCTAGTATGTAAGTCTTAGCTGTCATGCTAAGTGGTTACAGCCAGGTGTTAAACTACCAGGTGCTACTCTTTGTCCTAGTTAAGAGTAGTTAATTAGTCTGCCCTGTTAGTGATTGGCTGGGACTTGTATATAAGGGGTAAGCTTGATAAGTTGGGTGGGGGATATAGCTCTCCCCAACTGAGGTATGTTATGCTGTGTAACAGTCTGTATATTCTCTGTGTAAATATTCACCATTACCGCACTATAAACTTTCTGCACTTTCACTGCCAGTCGGTCTCCAGGCTTCTTATTTACTGCACCCAATAGTTTCATGGCTGGAAAGGTTTTCAGATAGACGGCCACTGGCTGTGGAAGCTCTATGCTTTGTCAAGATTGTGCTTTACGGGTAGGACCGGCTGAAATTCAGTATTTTGGAGTCAAACTGAATTAAACAAGGATCCCTGACCACTATTTCTCAATATTGTGAAATTTAAAAAATGTTTGCAGAATGAGGCAAAGGGTTGGGAGGGTGTATTAAAGTTTGGGAGGAATACAAGGCACGCTCTTCAGAAGGGTGGGGGTTGTTTTTGGGTCGCCCAGCCTGTTTTTTTCTCTCAATGCCAACCCCTGCAAGGTAGGACATGGGAGATCAACACTTTTTTGTCTTTAAAATGCCGTGGAAGGGCCCAAAGTGCTTGCAAGGAGGATGTACAAGATGAGCAGCTGTGCTAGTTTTTTTTAAGGTGCTGTTGGACACTTTTTCATGCAATGTGTGCATGAAATGTAAAGGGCGTGTTCAGTAAAAATGAATGGTTTTGAATAAAAAATAAAATCAAAAAGCTGTTGTATAAAAATAACAAATTTAAAGTCCCTTTGTATGTGCAGAAAAATTCAACACTGATTTTAGAGGGATGACTATTCTATAACATGCGGCTTCAGTCAGAGATGGTACTTCAAGAAGTCATCCAGCGCAAGCAAATTCTGGGAATCCCAAAGAAGCCCAACACCGTCCAAACCTAAGCAGACATAAGATTCGAAGATAATTAACAAAATAATCCTTTCACTTCTAACTGCTTTCTCAACAGTAAAACCCTGAAGTTCTTGAAAATGCAATGGAAGTTTGGGGAACGCTAGTGCAGATAGCCACAACCAAAAACTAACTTTTAAAAGATTAGGACCTAATGAATTACTTGTACCAATGTTTGTTGTTTTTAAGCACAGTGGAGAAGAAAGTTATGTCGTGATCCCACCACACATGTGCTATAGCTACTTAAATCTTCTATATAGCCCGCGTATGCCAACAAGGTCCAGGTTGTACCATAACCTTCCTTCTGAGTTTTTTGTGTAGGAAACTCAAATGCTCAGAGCTATTTGGCATGACTTTCATGCCTTTTCTGAACTACTTTTCCCAAGACACGGCTCCGTTGTTCCTGTTCTGTAACTTCCAGGTCCAGAAAACTACACCAGGCCATAGTGATTAACACAGTGGTCACCTGTAGGTTAGACTATTTGTTATGTATTAAGATGGCCACGACCGTGTGCACCAGGCCATGCAGTCTACAGGACTCACGGACCTTCGGGTCTAGAACAACAGCCCCGCGGATCCTAG